GTCCTTCCTTCCTTCCTTCCTTCCTTCCTTCCTTCCTTCCTTCCTTCCTTCCTTCCTTCCTTCCTCCCTCCCTCCCTCCCTCCCTCCTTCCGTCCCTTCCTCCCTCCTTCCATCCCTCATCCCTCCCTTCTTCTCTCCCTCCTTTCCTTCTTTTTTCGTTTTTGAAGACAGTGTCCTGCTATATAGCCCAGGCTGGCTTGGAACTTGCTATGCAGCCCAGACTGAACTAGAACTTGCAGTCCCCCTACCTCAGCCTCCAAAGTGCTAGGATTATGGCCCATGTCCATTAAATTTGCATTAAATTTTTACATTTCTATTAACTGCAGTTAAATGTTCTCACCACAAAAAAAAGATGAGTGTGTGAAGTGACTGACATGTTTATCAGCTTGGCTGAATCATTCTACAGTGAATATATATGTCAAAACACCACATTGTACCCCACAAATGTATATAATTATTATTTGCCAATTAGAAATAAAAACTAAGAGCCAGGAATGGTAATGCACACTTGTAATCCCAGCACTCAGAGGTAGAGGCAAAAAGATAGTGAGTTCTGGGCTATATAATAAGATACTGTTTCAAAAAAATAAAACAGGCAGGCATGGTGGCTCACACCTGTAATCCTGTCACTTGGGACACTGAAGTAGGAAGATCTTGAACTTGAGGATAGCCTGGTATACATAGAGAGTTCCAGGCCAACCCAAGCTGCTAAGTGAGAATTGGTCTCAAAAAAACATAGGGTAGGGCTGGAGAGATGGCTCAACGGTTAAGAACGCTGACTGTTCTTGCAGAAGACCCAGGTTTGAATCCCAGCACCCACATGGCAGCTAACAACTGTCCGTAACTCCAGTCCCAGGGGATCCGACGGCCTCTTCTGACCTCTGCAGGCATTGCACGACATGGGTTCACTTACCTACACACAGGCAATACATGCATACACATAAAATAAAAATAATAAATAAACTTTAAAAACAAAAGACATAGGGTAGGTAAGATGGCTCAGTAAGCAAAAACAAGCTGATGACCTGAGTTCGATCCCTGGAAGGAGAATCTTTGCCCTCCACTCAGACACAGTGGCATACACATGCCAGAATTCACACACACACACACACACACACAGAGTAATAACATAAAATAAATTTTAAAACAAAAATGAGTCAATAATTTTTAAAAATTTAATCGAGTATAGAAAAAGATAAAAATTTTAGAAAGATTAGGCCTTCTCCTTGGCCTCCCTGGCTCCTGTGCACGGGAGGAAGGATTTCGTCAGCTGCCAAGGCCTGAAGACTGGATTGCATCAGGCAGAAGAGGAGTCCACACCCCTTGCTGTGCAGTCCAGTGACTCACTCCCAGCCCTCGGGGTGTCTAGAACCTGTGTGCTGCAAGAGGAACTGTGGGCTGGTGTCTGAGGAACTGAGATCCTCAGACTGAGAGAACTGGGAAGCTTGGACTACCCAAGACTTGGAAGAATCCAGGGTCATAGTTCCTCTGGGCCGATGATGGGGTGCCAGGCTTACTTATTTAATGGAGGAAGAGTTGTAGCATTCTATAGCCAAGTCAGCATGGTCTTACAGGCATGACAAATGACAAATGTGTGTGCCTGCATACTTCTATTCACAGAGCTTTGGAGGGTAGTAACGAGAGGAGAGCACCAGCCCAAATTCAAGCAAGACTGTGTCCCAGCAGCCACCGGGGCTGCATACCTCATCATTTCTCTGTCTCTTCCCTTCTAGTCCTGGACACACAACATCCAGCGAGAGAAAGAGTTTCTGCGGAAGCTGGTGAAAGCACGAGTCATCACTGACCTAAGCAGTGGCATCTGAGTGGGCCCAACACTTGGCCATAGAGGCCCACACCAGGAACAAGCAGCTACCACCTGCAGAGGAGTCTTCTGAGCCAGAGAAGGACAGTGCCAAGGGGGCCCGGGGGCCAGTGAGGCCTTGGCAAGGCAACCAGAGCTGTGCCTGCTCAAGGCCAGCTGTAGAGACCAGCACTCTGCCTTGCAGCCTGGGTCCGTGAAGCCAGAAGGCCAAGAGGCCACTGGCTGTGCCCAGCAGGCCCAGCATGCAGGAGGTGGGACATTAGGCAGCACGGCTGCTGCCAGAATCATTTCTCTAATCAGTGTTTGGTGTATTATCATTTTGTGACTTTAGGTGGGGGGAGGGGAGGGATAATTTATTTTTAAATAAGATTGGAGATGTCACCTTTGGGCCACTTGCTGTGTAGAAAGAGGCCCACTAGAGGGCCCATCAGACCATGGTATCAGTGAGCTCCCTGAAGGATGGGAGTGCCAGACCATGCTCCAGAGACACAGGGAGGTAGGTAGCATACGGCTCCAGCTCTTGATACTGTTTGGGCTTTTCTTGGGGAGAAGATGGGATATTCCTTCTCATCAGCCCCTGGTGTCCCACAGGGAGACCCCAGAGCCATCCCTTTAGAGCCAACAGGAGTTCCTGGGCAAGAGAGAAAGAACTTGGGAGGTGAGGTCCAGCCCAGCCTGAAGGGAATGGCCCCTTCCCCAGCTGTACCCAATCCACAGGGCAGCACCCCTTCCCAGGGTGACCAACTCCTCAGATGGTCTAGGTTTCCTTAGTGAGACAGCCTGCCAGCTCCTTGGGTTCTGCCTTTATCCAGGACCAGAGGAAAATGAGGCCCAAGGACTTTACCCAGGCCATGGCAGCCATCCCAGGCAGCCCTCATGGAAGCAATAAAGCTCTTCCCTGAATCTGGCCTCTTGTTTCTTTCTCTGACTTTTCTGGAAAACAGAAACATGGGGCCTCAACAACTACCCTGAACTCAATGTCTTCTCTCCTGCCCATAGACTCTTGGATCCCTTTTACTTCTCTTACCAAGTATGGGACCTAGGTGGTTATCTAGAGGCCTCTGGAGCTTCTGCTGTCCAATACAGCTCCTGCATCTTCTTGACTTTAAGAAAGACCAGAAGCTGAAGAGTTGGCTCAGCAGTTAAGAGCACTGACTGCTCTTGCAGAGGACCCGGGTTGGATTCCCAGCACCCACATGGCGGCTACGAACCGTCCTTAACTCCAGTTCCAGGGAAATCTGAAGCCCTCTTCTGACCTCTGCGGCAGTGCAAGACACAGGTGCACTCACATACGTGCAGGCAATATGCTCATACACATAAAATAAAAAATAGTTTTTTAAAAAAGACCAGCACAAGAGGCCTACGGAGCACAGAGAGGGCCATAGACCTCTTCTCCATTCCTAACACCAGTGGCCCACCCACCTGTTAACGCATAGGCAAGTCTTCTGTCTTTAGCCCTCCTCACATAGAACAGGAAAGCCTCCAGCCCAGCTCTAGGTATCCCCTGGGAAGCTTTAGAGAAGACATTTCTGCTCCACTTTACTCCCTTAAAGCTCTAGAATCTGACCGCTCTTAAAATGACCCCAGGCAAGCCTGAGAATGTTCAAACTGACACCCCCAACTGCAACCATGGAGGCAGCTTCCTGGCCACTACAGCAGTGAGACAGCTGTCCTCCATATCTCTCCTGCCTTTTCCAATCCTAAGGCCTACACATCCCTTGGCCCTCCCACTAGTAAGCCCCCTAATGACAGAGAGGCCTGACTGGACTACCACCACCATCCCACATAAACTCTTTGTTGCTGTGGTCTGTGCTCTAGCAGAAGCCTCAGCTGGGTAGCTGATAGGGACTAGCAAACCCAGGAACACCCCCACACTCTGCTCTGTGGAGGGCCCCTACAGTGCAACAGCTCCATTCCATGAGCTCCTGCTTGAATGATGCCCACTGGAGTTGTACAGGGCCTAAGTTGCATGCCTGTCAGTGGTATCCCTGACAGAAAAAGTAACCTCAACTGAGCAGTCGGTTGCATGAGACAACAGAGAACATGCTGTTCAAGTACTTGTCCTCTTGTTCCATGCAGTCCTGCAGAACCTGGGGACAGCCCCACCAGCAGCAGCACTATTTCTCTGTAGTCTGACTTCCATCTCCAGCACTGTATAAAACTGCTCTCTTAAAACCTGGGGTTATAGGCTGAGCAGGGTGGCATAAGCCTTTAATCCCAGTGCTCTGGAGACAGAGGCAGGCGGGTCTCCATGAGTTCAAGGCCAGCCTGGTCTACATGGTGAGTTCCAGGCCAGCCAGGGTTACAGGAAGACCCTATCTCAAAAGGACCAAAAAAAAAAAAAAAAAAAAAACCCTGTGGTTATGAACCCTGGCTGTGTGCCAAATCTCTGGTGGAGATCTGGAAAATTGTATGTGCCCACCCCAAGAATCTAATTCACATCTGGGGTGGGACCTGGACATGGGTAGTTCTTAAAGGTCCACAAAAGTTCTGATACATAGCTGTGCATACACATTCCCTGAGCACTCTTGTTCCCTCCCACCTGGACATCCCCCAGGTAGCACCAGCTCCTAGAATTTCATCCCTTCTGTGGTCACTCAGGCCAAACCTAAAGGCACAACTTTGTCCATTCTACCACCTCACTTTGTCCAGTCAGGCACCAACTGCAATTTTAAGAAGGGAAAGTTGGAGATCTGGCTCCTGCAGCCTCAGGCTCCCCACAACCCTGCTCAGGCTTTATCATGTGCCCCAGCTGCCTGTACCTCTCCTGTCCAGCTTGTCTGCCCACCACATCCTCCCCAATGCAAAGTCATTCATGCAAATGCGTGCCTGATTCCAATGTTCTGCTCAGATCCTTTCCGTGGTCCCCAGCATCTTTTGGGATGTGTTCCAGACTCTAGTTATTAGGACCTTTCCAACCATGCTCTTCAGCCCACCCGTAGACACTTGTCATTGCCTTACATACATACACACACACACACACACACACACACACACACACACACACACACACACATATGGACGCACGCAGCAGAGTGCACGAGTTCCTCCTCCAAGCCCAGGCGATACACTCTATCCTTGGCCCTAGGGAGCCCAGGGCAAAGCCTGGTCTCTCTGAGGCAGCTAAACCGTCCGGGGGGTCCCAGAATCCCCACGCCTGCACGGCCCATCAGGGACTCTCCTTTGCCCAGGCTGCCTCTACTTCGCTGCCCTCCCCACTCCCCTGGCCTCCCAGCTCCTACTTCGCGGGTCTACAAACTTCGAGCTCCCAGTTTCCGCGCCTCTCCGCCGCCCGCATTCTCTACTCTCTGCCGCCTGGGGTCTTCTCCCAGCGTCTACACCCCACCTCGGAGGACCTAGCTGAGCCAGTGGGGACTGGATCCAGCGAGAGGCTCGGCCAGGTGAGCCCTGAAAGGTGGGGCGGGGCGGGGGCGCTCTGGGCCCCACCCCGGGATCCGGTGACGCTGGGGCTGGAATTTGACACCGGACGGTGGCGGGCAGGAGGCTGCTGAGGGATGGAGTTGAGCTCAGCCCCCAGACACGGCCCGCGGGCTCTGCCACCAACAAGTCCCTCGGGCCCCAGCCTTCACTGCGACTGGGGCTCAGAGCCCGGCACCAGAGGTAAGCCTGCCCGCTGGTCCATCCCCTGTATGGACGCTCCTAGGGCTGAAGAAGGGGCAGGACGGTCTTCCCATTCCTTGCATCCTCCCTCTCCCGGGCCCTCAGCTCAGCTCTCTGCCCCTCCCAGCCCCTCCGGTCCCTAGCTTGTTGGGCTGTACTAGTCCTTCTGGCCGGCTGTAATGTGAGGCTCCCGCTGCCGCCACAGGGCACAGACTGCCTGCCAAGGCCCCACTTTTTGCTAAAAGAGGCGCTGCCAGGTGCACAATTCTGGACATGGGCCATTTGAGCTTCGGGGAAAAGCCCAACATTGGTCTCAGGAAAGGTGCCTAGAAGAACACGGTGCAGGATCCCCGTGGTGAGTAGAGGCCTGGTGGATGGGGGTGGCAAGGGCTGGAGGACCAAGAAGCCCAGATGGCAAGAAAGGAGGAGAGATGGGTCTGAGCTGCCCTCAAGGGACTTACTCCTCGGCTCCCCCTGGCGCAGACACCCCCAAGGCTGCTTTGCCTGGCTTGCCTGGCTTTCCCTCCATCCTGGAGAATAATCATCAGCAGTCTAGTCTTAGGGTTGAGTCCAGTTGCCAACAGATACACACCTAGCCCTGGAGGACCACTTCCTGGATAAAGGTCTGGGGAGGTCTGTCTCCCAGATGTTCCCTGTGTGCTAGGGAGAGGGTGGAGGATTAATAGCTGGGACCCAAGAGGGTGCCTCACAAAGACTAGTTGTGCTCAGGAAGGCCGGCCAGCTAGGATCAGGAAGCATGGTTCATGGGGGAAAGTTCTAGGAGCAAGACTAGGCTGTCAGATCCATAGAAGGCTGACCAGCTCTCAGAGTGACTCAGCTCTCTGAGACCAGGCTGGTGTGAAGGACTGGCTGGTCCTCCTAGGAATAGCTCAGACCTGAATATGCAGAGGATGTGGAAAAGCCCCCTCCCCTTTAACCCTGTAAGCTTGGCAAACTCTGCCCCCTGGTGGTCACAGAAAGCCATGGTCCAGGCTTGGTGTCTTAGATGGCCCAACAGTTCCCCCAATAATATATTGGCTCCTGAAGGACATCTGTGATCATAAGAACCGTAGCCCTGGGTCCAGAACAGAAATCACTGAGGAGCAAGATGCTGGCACTGAGTAGGCAGCACAGGCTGAGGCCCAGGCCTCACAGTCATCACATAACTCAGAATGAATGGGCACTCTACTTCTCTAGGCCTCAGCTTCCTCTCCTGTGGCATGGGGTGACCTGGGTATGGGACTAAAGGTTTTCAGCTACTACTTTCTCCAGCCACCCTAGTAGCTTCAACCCTACAGCACAAAGCAAAAGGTTCTGAAAAGACAGGAACCCTCTCTCCACAGCTGTGTGGGACTCCCCTTATGACATCAGACAATCTGAGCTTCTCTGAGCCTTGTTTGCTAATCTGAAAAAAGGGAATTGGGCCCTTACCTCTGCGATTTGTGAAAGAGGAAATGGCTGCAAGCACCTAACACAGAATAAGATTCTCTAGGCTGCTCCTTCTCCTGGGTTGAGTCTAGGTCCTCCAAGCCCTAGGGTAGCTTGGAGGAACTGAAGTGGAAGGATGACCTCCCCAAAAGATAACTCATCTCTCAATTTGCAAGCTGCCTCAAGAGGAGGGCGGGGAAAACAGGTCCACAAAAGCTGATGGGAGCTCCTGGTATTGATAGAGATGGATATTGGATTTGGAGGCCCTACTGCACTACCCCATTGTCTCTGGCCTAGATGGCAGGTGAGTGATTCACTCTCGTCTCCCAGCTGGCTTTGATTGGGGAAAGAGAGCAGCAAGACTTGACCTGGGCAGGGGTCAGATGTGACAGGAGGGAGGAACCAGGCATATGGGAAAAGGAACAGTGTCCTCAGGTGATTCCTTCCCTGGGCTCCCGGAAGAAGCAAACTCATATTCTTGATCCTAAGCCCTTCCTTACACCCGCCACCCAGCTAGAAGCCCAACCCCTCTTTGATCTGGGGTGAAGATACCCCCGCCCCAGGGTGCCCTCTTCCACCCTGAGGCTCCAGTTTTCTCTGTACAGCCAGCCCTGTGGCCAACCCTGGCTGCTCTTACCCTGCTGAGCAGCGTCACAGAAGCCTCCCTGGACCCCATGTCCCGCAGCCGCGTCACTCGGGATGGTCCCTTGCCCGTACTGGCGCCCCCAACAGGCCACCACCTGCCCGGTAGGTGAGAGCGCGAGGGGGCGGGGCGGGGGCGGGGCTGGCGCTAGACCTCGAGTGTGACTGAGTCTCATTTCAGGGGCACACACTGCGAGTTTGTGCAGCGAAAGAGCCGGGCGACTACCGCCACAGTCTCCCCAGCCGGCACCCCCGCCGCCAGGCCCGGCGCTCCAGTCTCCTCCAGCTGCGCTCCGTGGGGTACGCGCAGCGCGCGCAGGGACCCGGAGCAGCCGCGCGCGGGCCCTGGATGCTCGCGGGTGCCGCCTGCGCTCGCAGCTCGTGCCGGTGAGCGCGCTCGGCCTGGGCCACAGCTCCGATGAGCTGGTGCGTTTCCGCTTCTGCAGCGGCTCTTGCCGCAGGGCGCGCTCCCCGCACGACCTCAGTCTGGCCAGCCTTCTGGGCGCCGGGGCCCTGCGGTCGCCCCCGGGCTCCAGGCCGACCAGCCAGCCCTGCTGCCGGCCCACTCGCTATGAGGCAGTCTCCTTCATGGACGTGAACAGCACCTGGAGGACCGTGGACCATCTCTCCGCCACAGCCTGCGGCTGTCTGGGCTGAGGACGCTCTCCCAAGACTTTGCACAATGGACCTTTACCGGTGTAGTTCCCTGCCCGGGACCACCCCACTGTGCCTCACTAGCCTGGAGCCTCAGCCAGAGATGGAGGCTGAGAGCTGAGGTCCCAGCCTGGTGAGTGACGGACATCAGTCCTGGAGAGATGGCCGGACCACTGCCCAGCAGCCTCAAGGTGCTCACTCTACGGATCCCAGCGCTGCTGACACCAGAGACCTCAGCTAAGTGGAACTCCTCCGGAGAATTCGGAAATAGCCCCAGATCATGGGGAATGGATTTTGAGGAGACACATTGCAGTCACGTTGCTGAAAGAGTCTGTGCTGGACCTGGCCTTGTATTCACTTGTGGGAGCTGGAGCCGTATTTATTATTCCTAAATTATTTATTTACTTTGCTGGTTTGTCAGATCCTTTCCTGGGCAGTGGGGGGAATGGGTCAAAAAGGCTGAATGAAGATGCACCCCACATCCCTGCTTCCATATTTCACACCCACCTTCCAATCACAGTGGCCTGGATGCCTACCTCTTGCCCCTCAGGCAGTTCTGGGACAGGAGGCACAGAGTGGGTGACAAGGATGCATTCACAGTCTGGCCGACGGCCTCCTGCACAGTACTCAGTGCTTGGGGACTGGGTTACCTGTGGGAAAAGAAACTATAGAGCCTTCTGTGGAGCAAGGTCACCCTGGACCACTGGCACCTTGAGACCCCTGCTGAGTGGGTAAAGACACAGAAAACCACACTTTGCCCCATTTCAGTGTCAGTGACCTACTGTCCGGGAACTGTCTTGAAGGTACCCTGGGAGGTGTCATGCTGTTTCCACTCACAGATAATCAACGCCTGAAGCAGCCCAGGGCGCTAAAATGTCTGAAGGGCTGAGAGTGGGAGGAGATGCTGGTTTGGGGGAATGGGGCTTCAGGAGAGTAGGAAAGGACAGACCATGTCAGCAGACCCTGCATTTGGTATGATGAACAAGAACACCCATTTATTCACCCAACAACCATTTACAATTAAATGCCTGCTGTGTAGACACTAAAGATGCAGAAGTGAGGGTGGGACTATAATAGGTTGAGTGCTTACCTGGCATGTTCCAAGCCCTTGCTTTAGTTCCCAGCACCAATCTGTAGTGGCTCACGCCTTCACTCAGGAGGCAGAGGGAGGCAGATCTCTATGAGACGGAGGCCAGCCTGGTCTACACAACAAGTTCCAGGACAGCTGGGGCTACAAGGAGACCCTGTCTCAAAAAAAACAGAATTGATTAATTAATTAAAAATAATAAAAAATTTAAAATAGAAGTGAAAATATTGAACAAAATTATCTCAATAACTGATTCCCAGCACCACGTAAACAGGGTGTAGAGGCACATGCCTATAATACTGGCACTCAAGAGGTTGAGGCAGGAGGATCAGAAATTCAAGGTCATCCTCACCTACATATTGAGCTAGAGGCCAGCATGGTCTCTGCCTTTCAGAAGCTCAAACCAGGAAAAACAGACAATAAACAAGCAATTACATATATAATCATCTATGTTCAATTTGGCTAATGGTACACAAAACAACGGGGGCTGGAGAGGTGGCTGAACTGTTAAGAACACTGGTTGTTCTTGCAGAAGACCCGGGTTCAAATCCCAGCACCCACATGGCAGCTAACAACTATCCATAACTCCAGTCCCAGGGGATCCAACAGCCTCTTCTGACCTCCGTGGGCATTACATGACACAGGTGCACTTAACTACATGCAGGCAATACACACATACAGATAAAATAAAAATAATAAAATTTTAAAAAACAGAACAAAACAAAACCCCAAAAAGCTAAGAGGGACACACTTCCTTCTGGAAGGAAAGTCAGTGTTGACCCTGGCCTCTCCCACTGACCCCAGGTCATCCCCAAAAGGCCAATGCAATCCTTTGAGCTTTTCTGCATGTCCTTTGAAACAATGTTTTAAGCCAAATGTGATGGAGCACACTTGTAATCCCAGCACTTGAGAAGCAGAGGCAGGAGGATAAGTGGTCCACAGTTATCCTCAGCTGCATAGCAGGTTCCAGCCCATTCTGAGCTGAATGAGACTCTCCCAAAAAAGAAAGAGGGGATAGGGAGAGGCATGAATGGAGGAGAGGGTCTGGTTTGAGTGGGAAATGTATGAAATTTAAAAAGTTCAATTAAAAAAAACAAAAGAGCCAGGTGTGGTGGCGCAGGCCTGTAGTCCCAGCACTCGGGAGGCAGAGGCAGGCGGATCTCTGTAAGTTCAAGGCCTACCTGGTTTACATAGTGAGTTCCAGGCCAGCAGGGGCTGCAGGGAGACCCTGTCGAAAAAGAAAAAAAAAGGGGGGGGGAGGGGAGAGAGGAGAGAGAGAGAAAGAGAAAAGTTGTTTCCCTGATTCTAGGCATTTATATTGAGGAAGCATCTGTGGTTTTTCTTCTTTAAAACAAGATGAGGACACATATTATTTTTGTGTGTATGTGCATGTGTGTGCATGGATATGCAAGCATGTGTGTGTGGAGGCCAGAGGCTGACAGTCAGTTGCTCTCCCCCTTATCTTTTGAGACATGGTCTCTTCATTGAACCTGAAGCTGGCAAATGTGGTTAGGCTGGCTGGCCAGAAAGCCCCAGGGATCCATCTTCCTGTCTCTACCTCCCCAGCTCAGGACTACAGGCACATGCCTCAGCACTGGGCTTGTGTTTATCTTATTTTGTGTGTATGTGTCACAGCTCAGGCATAGAGGTCAGAGAACAACTTGTGGGAGCTGCTTTCCTCCTTCCACCATGTGGGTCCCAAAGATCAAGCAGGTTGTCAGGCTTGGTGGCAGGCACCTTTACCCACTGGGCCATGTTGCCCAGCCCCAGCTTTTATGTGGGTGCTAGGGAATGAATTCAGACTCTCATTCTTCACACTTATGCCACAAGCACTTTATCAACAGAGCCATCTCCAAGGACCCCTAAAATGGGGACATTTGGAAAAGGTGTCTGCTAGACTATGGGACAACACAGGAGTTGTTGACAGGCAGCAGAACGTGCTGGTCTGGAGCAGAGGAGGGAGGTATGGGTGGGACATGAGAGCTGTCAGCACAGAGGCTGTAGCCAGGGGTGCAAGAGATACCCAGCTGAGACTAGGTTTAAGGTGGGAGCCCAGGCATTTAATAATGCCTACAGAATCCTTCCCATCTGCCCATGAGCCTACTTTGGCACAGGTGCCTTCACCCAGGCTAGTAAGAAATAGCAAGAGTTTAGAGGGCTGGGCCCATTCTGGGTCAAGGAAGCAAACTAGGCCTCTGTTCCCTCTTTTCTGTAATCTCTGTCCGTTTTACATATTCCCCAAACTTTGATGATTTTGTACCTTCAGATACCTCCTTGGCCCCTCTCTGTCTCCAAACTGATTAGGGATCCTCAGTTTCTCTCTCTCTCTCTCTCTCTCTCTCTCTCTCTCTCTCTC